TTTATAGCCATGGCTGCATGGCCAGAGAGCGGAGCTCAGGCCTTGGCCTTGGGTGTAAAAGTCTGTTGAGGTGGTAGGCTAAGAGGCTCTAAAGCTTAATCAAGGTGAGTTGGCCCCTAGGGTTGGGATTGGGTTTGATTTAGGGATGCTGGCCGACCCTCGATTTTGAGGTGCTTCGGTGACTAGGTCGGCTGACAGGGCCAGGGGAGGAGGCTAGGAGGTCAGGTGAGCCAGAGGAATCTGTCACAACCATTAATTTGGGTTGATGATGGGTTTTGGAAAAGATCTCTTTGGATTAAGCAATTTAGGAAACAAATCCTTTGATTTAGGGGACCTTTGGTCCATGGCTCATCTAGGGTGGGTTAAGTGAGTCTAGCTTGGTCACTAGGGTCCAAAAATTGGTTGTAGAAGTCTTGACTTGGTCAATTTAACATGGCTAGGTCAATTTTGGTGCATGGGTTCAATGTGGGTCTAAATGGCCAAAAGTTGGGTTTGGGTTAGGCTAGCCATGAATTTGAGCCCAATTGATTGATCAAAATTGTTTAGATGCTTGTAATGAAGATTTTTGGTGAAGGATTGAAATGATTTTGAGTCCAATTGGGGTTTCAATTTGAAGGATTTTGGAATTTTGGTCAATTTGAGCATGTTGGGCTAAACTTGGGTCAAGGTTGGGCTACGGTTGGGCTAAGTCCAAATTCATTATTTAGAATGGTCTATAAGAATATCATTAAGAGTTTCCAACATAAATTGGGTCTCAAATTTGGGGTTAGGGCAATCAATTTGGTGGAATTTGGATGTATAACCAATTTGGGGCAAATTTAGGAATTTTTGAACTTGAGTTAAAACTGAATGCAATTGAGGCTTCACCAAGGACAATTAAAGTTCAAGTTTGGTGTGTAGGATTGTTATGAAGAGTTTAGGATTCAAATTGGGGGAAATTGAGTAGGCGATGGGGTTCAATTTGGTGGAACAAAGTCATAGGGCCAAAGTTGGGGTTTTGACTTAGATCAAAATTGGGCTCAAAGCATGGGCCAATTAAGTTTGGATTTGGTTTAGATTGGTCATTTGAAAGGTGAATTTGAGATTAGAATTGAAATTGAGGGAAATTTGGGTCAAACTGATGGACATTTAAGGTGAATTTGGGGAAATTGGGCCTTTAAAGACAATTTGGGGGTTTTGGTTAAAATGGTCAAATTGACCAAATTTGGTTTAATTGGAGGGTCCAAATTGGTTTTGGAAACATTTGTAGTGATTTTGAAGGTTTTGGGAAAGTTTTGGGTGCCAATGGTATTTTTGTAATTTTGTGGTCATTTTGACGGTATTTTGGTAAATTTGGAATTTTTGGGTAGTTTTGGGTAACTTGGGTATTTTGAAAAGTTTTGAAATGATTTTTGGACAAATTTGAGTATTTTGGGTGGATTTGGGAATTTTGGCCAAATTTAGGGCTTCAATGATATCTAGGTAATTTGGGGGATTTTGGGGCAAAATGCCAAGTTAGATATTTTTGGTAGAATTGGGGTGTCAACCACTCTATATGAGTCATGGACAATTGGAATCCCCATTTGGGTCCTCTATGTACTGGTCTTAGCTAAACCCTAGCTTAGAGCTAGTGGGTTTAGGGGACCATCTGCATGAGTCTCTCCTCTGTAAGATCGAATGTGAGCTTTTCTCCCTTGCTATTTACTTCTTTAATTCAGGTGGATCTTATTTGTTGGACGTTGTAGTTGTGAGGATCCTCTTACTATGGTGGTTGTATTCTAATAGAAGCATAGCCTTCATTTCGTGTGAGATTATGAATGACGTTTGACTAGTTGCAGTGGATGGGGTTGTTCAGATGGCCTATAAAACAAATGAGAGTATTTCTACTTAGCTTCTCTTTTTTCCATCAAATTACTTCCTTAATAGATTGAGAATAGTTTTATTGGTGACCTCAACTTGGTCGTTAGTAATCTGTCATTTTTTTTTTTTGAAGATGTGAACATTACTTAATTTCATATATATTTTTTTTTATTTTAGATAAATGAAATTTTTTATTTAAAAAAAAGAGACTGAATGAATCTCATATATTCAATGGTTTAAATAACCGAACACGATATTATAAATAATGTTTTATCTCAAAAGATGAGAGTATCACTCGATAGTAGTATCAATTTTTCAAACAAAAAATTATGATATTTATTTGTTTTGTGAAATTTTCAACAGATCATTCTCTTACCTAATCTGAAGATTAGATAGGATTTAGATTATCTGAGTTACTAATTCTCCTATAGGCGTAAGCTTCTATAGTTAATTACTTCTTAGGCGACCGAAATCACTTAAAAAAGCTCTCGATTAAGATTGGAGTTTTTTCTTCAAGAATTTAAAGTTTAGTTTTCACGATTGTTCATAAGAAAATCAACTGGAATATACTCAACTTAGAATAATTATTAATGGAATCCAAATGCGCGAAAGGTAGATGATCTCACAAATACCGAGAAGACATCTGTAACTTCCCAAACTATTTTATGGTTTGGATTTACATTTTAGAAGCAATGTTATTTAATATTCTATTCTTACAATCTATTTAAAATTTATGGCTTACATTTGCACGGTATATGATTATGCAAGTAGCTTAAGAAGATGAGAGGATTTAAGTTGTACCCGACAACGACCTCAAAATCCTAAAAAGAGTTAGGGATTATAACACACGACATACAATCATGTGAAGGCCTAAAAGATAGTGTTAGGATTTATGTCGTGCTAGATGAACGACCTCTAAATTCTAACAGCTCGTGTTGACTCAGTCAATGGAAAGTTTAGTTGAGGTTCATCATTCGCTTCATGTTTTATCTTCTCTTGATTGCTTTGAAGGTTGACAGTTACTTGATTACATCCTCACCTAATTCTATGGAAAGAAAAGGGAAGAGAAAATCATGCCTCAGGAGGCCTATCATAGGTTTTTGTTGTTTGTTTATTGTGATACTGTGAAGTATAATTTGAATTGATGATTGTTATTACTAAAGTGATAAAAAGGGGGTATTTTATTTTGTGTTGAGTAACGCCGGTCAAGATCTCATAATTTTTTCATTCCGGCACCGCTGTTAGTTTTGAATTTACTTGGTTTAAATGAGCTGTTAAACTTCTTTAGACTAGAGAACTCTTGTTAGCAACCATATGTTCTCTCATCCAAGAAATTCTCGTAAATCAAAAAGGTGGATTATTATTATTATGCTATTTTATTTTTTTATTAATTTTATTTTGTTAATTAATTATCATTTGGGTTTTAATTTTTATAAATTTTAATGTTTTAATATTTACATTAAAAATTTAACGTTAAGGAAAAATTTTAAAATAAAAATCAAGTGATTTTGTGATAGATCCACCCGACACGAAGTTTGATGCCATCCATTTTGTCTGCCTCAGAATAGCTTTTGCGATTACCCAATGCCTCAATCACGACAAGGTTTACCTCGTAAAGGCGCACAAAGAAATTCATATAAGAAGCACCTTAGCATAAGATCACAGAAATATATGTAGAATATGAGTATTGTGATAAACATGCCAAGTCTATTAAATATGCATATCATTCAATTCTAATGAACTTACATATCTAACACTTAAACTTTCATATTTACGTTTATAAACCTTTGATATTTTAAAATTATGCATAAAAAGGAGCATGTCTTTTAAAAAAGACAACAAAGTGCTATCTTTGATTCCATGTTAACAATTTGAATGTTATGATTGTAAACAATTAAATTTTGGTATCTGATAGGTTAAAACATAGGAATTGAGTGGTATATATGTAAATGCCCCTATAATTATATAGATAGTTCACACAATTGTGAACTACCGGGCAGAGATATTCTTTAGTTCAATTGGCTTCGAAAATATGAACCAAGAGTAACAAAAAATACATAACTTGATATTTTAGATTAATTTGTAATATATATTTATAACTAATCTGCCTTAAAAATCCTTCCCAATCAACATTTGCACCCGGAGGCTTTTGCTGTTTGAATGTGTTAAATATAAGCGTTACCAAAGAGCAAATATGGATGAGATAAAATCTAAACATCATCCAATTATTATGTATTTTCATATCTAACACCTAAACTTAACTTTTTTTTTTTTTACACATTTATGCCACCCACATCTTTAATATTATGTAACATATACCACTATTTTGAGATTGTCGGAAAGAAGAGACGGGATGTACGGCGAGGGATTGCTGCGATGTGTGGAGGAGTTGAGGGCTGGATTGCGACAAGGTTGATAGGGATGCTTCGCGTGGGAGGAAGAGATCATCGGAAGGAGGTTCGCCGGTGGGATGAAGGGGAGGTGTGGCTTGGTCTTGGAAAAAATATTATCTCAGGAGCACTGATGCATTAGTACTCTAATGATGAGGTGTCACGTGACGTCACGGTGGGACCATTACATACGTGACACCCCATCATTGACGTACTGATGCATAAGTACTTATGAGGTAATATTTTTTCTTGGTCTTGGCGGAGGGTAGCGAGAATAAAAATGAGAGAGTTTCGGTTGTGATTTATTATAATTATTCTTATATTTTATTATGATTATTATTATCAATATTATCATTATTATCATGAGAGGAAAGTATGGGCCTTGATGTGATTTATCATTGAGGTGGGATAATTACAATTAAAATTATTAAAAGTAGGATTGTCATTTAGTGACTTTATTATGGTTTTTATAATGTAAATTATAAATTAATAAAATGACGAGAGCTTTTATGTTGGGCTTTGGCCTTCTTTTTTTTTTTTTTTAATTTGATTTTAATGGGCTTAGTGATTTAGGGCCTGTTTGGCGCAGCTTCTTTTCCGTGTCCGGCATTTTCGTAACGCCGTGTTGTTGTTTGTTCGGGCGTTGGGTCTTGCGGTCGGGGAACGCAACATTAATACTTGTATATAACTCTGCTCGCTCCTTCGACGCTCCTAGCTCCCCGCATTCGGCGTTCAGGGTGGGATTATTACCCCACAACCCTCGATCCCGCGATGGCCCTAAATCTCACGAACGACTACTCGCCTACCATAACCCTCTCGCTTCGCTCTTGCCGACGCTCTCACCTGTTGTCGATCGACGCTTCTCTGTTGTTCGCTCGCGCCAGCAGATCAGATCGAAGCTCTTCTGCAGATCAGATCGACGCTCCTCTCTATGTTCCTCTGCAGATCGGATCGACCCTCGCTCGCGTACCTAGATCTCCGATCGAGTTCATTACCCGCGCTGCAGGTATGCTTCACGACATCTCTCGCCCGTGATTCCTTCTAGATTTTTTTTGAAATATGCAAATTGTAAGAAGAAAAAGTATGCAGAGGAGGAAAGAGTTGAGAACTTTTTCGATGATATTATTTTTTCCTTTTTCATTACAGTTAAACTTGATTTGCATTTTTTTAATCTTTAGCAGTTTAAAGAATTTGATTCTAGGTCCATCTTTTTTAGCTAACGAGATGAACTTGTTATTGTGATTTCAGACTTTTATTCAAGCTACCCGATTCTTTCTTCTTATGGTATTATTTGTAGGCTACTATTCGGTTCCTATGTTATGCCTATGGGATGCATTATAGGATTTAGCAAATGTGGCCTTTTCATTTAGCAAATTGTAGGAGTTTGCCTATGTTATGCCTATGTGATACATTTAGCAAATAGAAAAAATGTGGCGTTGAAGCATTGTAGGTACAACTGTTCGATATCATTGTTTGAAGCTTTGATGCATTTAGCAAATAGAAAAAATGTGGCTATGTTATGCCTATGTGATGCATTGTTGGGTTTGCCTATGTGATGCCGATGTGATGCCTATGTGAAGCATTGTGGCTTTGGGAGGTTTGCATTGAACCTATATAGGTACAACTGCTCGATATCAGTTGTTTACATTGAACCGAAAAAATGTGGCTTTGGGAGGTTTGCATTGAAACAAAAATATTATGTTATGCATTGTATAATTTTTCATAGCAGGTTGGTCTTTTCATTTTGTGGGTGTTGATTCTTTTTTAGCATATCTTTTAACAATTGTTGGTTAATTTAGATAATTTTATTGTGCCTGTTGAGTTGCAATTCTTCTTTTAGTTCCACAATGGCTAAGACGTCTGAAGGGCTCCCTCTGCATTGTGGGATAAAGAAGTGACCAATATCTTTTGTGATCTATGTATAAAAGAAATTGAGATGGGGAACAGACCTACAACGTATTTTAATAAAGAGGGTTGGCAAAATATGTGTGCGAGGTTCAAAGAACTGACTGGAAGAGATTACGACAGACTTAAATTAAAAAACAAATGGGACCGATTAAAGAAAGAATGGAAAATATGGAAAGAGCTGAAATGTGGCTCTGCCGGATTGGGGTGGGATCCTGTTAAACGAAAGATCGATGCTCCAGATTAATAGTAGGCTGAAAGATTGGAGGTAATAAATACAAATGTCTTTTATTAATTTCAATAGTTTTTAGTTAATGCCTAAACTCCTCTAATAAATGTTTTATATTCCAGGCAATGCCAACTGCAAGAAAATATAGGCATTGCAGAATTGACCCTGAATTCGAGGAAAAACTTGACATAATGTTCAAGGGAGTCGTGGCGACTGTAAAGAATTCATTCAACCCAAGTGAAATGAAATTTTTAGGAATACCAGATGAATTGCCATCTGAACAGGTCAGACTGATGAAGAAGTGGCAAGTATTCACCAAAAGGATATTGGAGAGTCTAGTATAATTTCCAAGGGGCCTTGGTTTGGCAAGAGGACAAAAGAGAAGAATTGTTTCTTGAAAAGCTCATTTCATGAACTAATTGCAGCTTTTTTAGCACCACCCCCCTGACATCACCATCTGGGACTACGTTGCCATTATAAAACTATTCCATAGGAGACTGCAGATATACGCTTTCAGGCTAAATGTGTAAAAAAACTGGAGGACCCTACTCATAGGCAAATGCTCATGGTCATACGGCCCGAGCTGCGCCTTGAATACTTACGTGTTTTAGTATAAGAATGAGATTGTATTTCATTTGATGTACTTTATTTCCGGATAATTTTTATTTCATTTGATGCACTTCATTTCATGATGCTTGGAATTTATAGATGTTATGTATTCCATTTATGTAATTTTCCAGATTATTTCTTCGCTAGATGTATTTCATTTATGTCATTTACTCCTAAATTATTTCATCCTAATGAATTTATAACCTCATGATGGATCCACTATGAGAACGTCGTAAAAGAATGGCGTGGGCTTCAATAATAACAATATTATTGTTGGAATATTACCGCTCCAGCATTAGATGGATACCACGCATGACGTCCTCATATGTTGGGGAAAAATGAGTGGGTGAGATGCTTGATGGACGTCCAGTAAGGTTCAACAACATTTTTCGAATGAGCGCACCCATCTTTATTGATCTTCTACATGACTTATGTTGTAATCACGACCTGCAAGGTTCTTCTAGAACAACCATGAGAAAGGTATTGGCTATAACATTATATATTCTATCACAGAATGAATCAGTTAGAGGAGCTATGGAGCGATTTCAACATTCCTCGGAAACGATTAATCGATACTTCTACAAATGTATACAAGCACTTGTGAGCCTAGCAACTCAAAACGTTAAGCCATCTGATCCATCGTTTGCAACTACTCCTGAATAAATTGCAAATGATTCCCATTACATGTCGTATTTCAAATTAAATTTAATTAGTTTGTTAAAATAACTTCAATACCTGTGGAATTGCTAACCATGAATTACAGAACTGCATCGGAGCAATCGATGGTACGCATGTCGATGCCCGACTACCAAGTCATGAAAGGATCGTGTATATTGGTCGAAGTGGTAAAACTACCCAAAATGTGATGGCAGTGTGTGACTTCAACATGTGTTTCACATTTGTACTGGCGGGGTGGGAAGGAAGTGCACATGACAATCGCTTTTTTTCCTTTGCAACTAGGAATAGAACACAGTGTTTCCTTCACCCACCTCTAGTTTTGTTCATCTTAATTAAACATATTGTTAATTACATTAATTATTTTTAATTAATATTATTTTCATAACAGGAAAATATTATTTGGTAGATGTTGGGTATCCGATGCTACGGGGCTACCTGAGGCCCTATCTAGACACAAGATACCATATTCCTAATTTTGAGCGAGCAAGTGGCACAATTCGTGGCAAAAAAGAAAAGTTTAACAAGTGACACTCCTCTTTACGGGGGTTATTGAAAGAACATTTGGAGTGTGAAAGAAAAAATGAGTTATCCTACGTGTTATGCCCTCGTATTCATTTCCTAAACAGGTGCATATTGTGGTGGCCACTATGACACTTCACAACTTCATCTGACGACATCCCTCACATTCAGACACAGACTTCAATATTGCTAATGATGATCCAATTATTGACTCCCTAGAACCTTCAAGATCTCTAGCTAATAATGAGATGAAGTTTACTGAATATGAAACTCAGGACGGTGAGGGTGCAGTCGAGATGACTGCTCTGAGGGAGTCTATAACAGATGTTATATATGGCAACAAGTCCAACGAGTCTTTTTTCTGTTTGTACGTTAATTTTGAATGTCTTTTTTTTGGATAAGTACTGACAATATTTTTTTTTCTTTTTTTTTTCACAGTTATAGAAACATGACTTCTAGGATATCAATTACAGACATATATATTTTATGTTATTGTGGTCTACCGGCTCAGTTGCTTACGTCGCGTCAGTCTCATAGCTTTGGGAGGCGGTTCTACAGTTGTGCCAAGGGTGTTTCTGCTCGTTGCGACTTCTTTCAGTGGGCTGACAATCCCTCATATTACATTGCCAGCAATCATAAGAATCCAATATTTTCTCAGGTTGACAGTGCAGATGAGGACAAGCGTAGTCAGAGTCTGAAATTAAATATTTTATTATTTCTCATTGTAATTGTACTTATATTTTTACTTTTTTTAGTTCTCTTGGTACTCATGAGGGTGTGAGAACTGTATGACATCTTTTAGAACTGATCTGTGATGAACGTATATTTCTGCACTATATGCTTTTGTTCTACCAATAAGCTATTCTGAATAAGCTACCCCAAACAGTTTTATCAGACGGGCATAAATGTCATTTAACCACCAATAAGCTATTATGAATAAGCTGTCCCAAACAGCAAGACCGATTATTTTGATAATCTGCAGATTATCAGAAACAGACCCTTAATTAGAATGGATTTTAATGAGTCAATTTTAACCAATTTTAATAAGTTAAATTTTTTTGGGTTTAATTTTATTGAAAATTAATGGATTTGATTAATTGATTTTAGGACCTTATTTTTTTGATAAAATTTTTCATAATTTTTAAAATTTTAAATTTAGAATTTTGAAATTTATTTAGTATTTTTTCTCTAAGGACAGACCATATTTTTGGTCCAAAATAAGCCTCATACTCAATGTGTTTTTTATGAACTAAAGAAAGAGTTATCCAAAGAATTTTGAAGTGAAAGTGCAAAGTACTCAGAAAACCTAAGTATCTAGGGTCAGAAGGTTGCCTAAGGCACTTCCATCTTATAGGAACTCTAACTGAGTTCCAAATGTTGAGAATTCAAAACCATACACATGAGAGTACAAGGAGTCATGACGTGGTTTGAATTTCTAAGTGGTGTGGGTTACAAAAGAAATCTTCTTGGAGAGTCAGTAGGGAAGTCTGATGGCTAAATTCCAGGCTTTAGAGAGGGAGACAGACGTCATAAATATGATGTCAACAAGTATTTATATTATTATTATTATTATTATTATTATTATTATTATTATTATTATTATTATTCAATTCAACATTTTTTTTAATTTCTAGCATAATTTGCTCTTTTTTATATATTTTAACATGCATACAATATTCAGATGGACCCATCAGATAAAGAGAAAATTATAGGGATAGTTGAACGAGCAACGATTCTGACCATAAGGTATATCTTATTAATGTGTACTATTAGAGTACGCTCTGTATAAATATGTTGTGTCATCGTCATTTGAGGGTGACATGTGGATTGGAGAGCTACTCGAATCTCATCTAAGTAAAATTCATAGCATGTTTCGAACATCAAAAATATTTTTTTGGGATTTTTTGGATAAATTGAAAACTAATTATGTTTTGCAAAGATCATCGCACTTTACATCCAAGGAAGTTCTAGCCATCACACTATATTATGCACACAATGATCCATTTGTGATTCTTCTGAGTGATTTTAGTACTCCATAGAGACGATTAACATATATTTCAATATTGGGGAATTTTTTTGGTGAAATTATCAGCAAACATTGTGAAACTCATATAACTTCCTTTTATGCCAATACCGAGAGAACTCCATAGAGATACAAGATACATGTCTTTCTTCAGTGTATTAGTATTTCTAATTGTTTTGACATTACTATTTTACAACAAAAAAATAATGGTCTAATGAACTTTTAAATAGAATTGTATTAGTGAAATTGATAGCACACATGTCCTGCATATATTGGTAATGATGAGAATATTGCATATATCAGATAATATGGAGCTGCTACACACAATATCTTAACACTTTGAAGTGAGTGTTAATGATAGTCAAATATTCAAAATTGCAACTCGACGACGTGAATCCAAATTTCCAATGCTTCCTCCATGTTAGTAAATTCAAGAATGTATATGAAGCATTTGATTTGAGGAAATGTAGTAATAATGTTATCATTAAAGTAATTATTATCTCATCGATATGAGATATCCATTACAACAAGGTTTCTTAAAGTTATTCCTTGATACGTTCCTGATTTTGAGTGCAACAACCAAGTGATTAGAGAGTGGAATGAATTCTTTAATAAAAGACACTCATCATTACAAAGTATTATCAAGAGAGCATTCAATATATGAAAGAAAAAATGGGTTATGCTCTAAGATATGCCAACATATTTATTCAAAAAATAGGTCATTATTGTTGTTGCTACAACAACACTACACAATTTTGCTTTATCGACACAATTTTAGGCGTCCCTGTGGAAATTGTCAGTCGTCGGAATTGAAATTCCGTCACCCGTTTTGAAGGGGCATTTAATATATATATATATATATATATATA